AATGAAAGAAATTTATTGGGAAAAACTTTCTTCCTAACATTCGCTAACAGTCGAGATAGAAATTCTGCTTCTGTTATTAAAATTGATTAAATACAAGGCATACGCGATTCTTGACGCATTTATATCTCTCACAACCTCATTTAGTGTAAAAATAAGACTATATCAAAATAAAATCAACAATTCTTATTCTCGACTATCGAATTAAACAAGATTGACTTACTGTAATTGAGACAAGAGCAACTTATATAAATGTAAGTTTAGAATAAATTTTCCTTCCATCTTACAACGCACGAAGTTGTTGTATATCGATTGCTACATCGATCCTATTTTATGATACATTCAAGTGTAATCGCATTGGATCCGGAAATTTTTTCTATGGGTGTAGCAATTCATTTATATACCTCGATTATTTTCCGCTCCTAGAAAATTGTTGCCGCGGTTGCAGGATTATTTTTTTTTGAGTGCAGTTACGTTCGCGAGAATTGAATTAACAATGCACGTATCTAATAGGCTAATTTGCAGGCTTACGCTGAAGTTAACGTTGATTAATATTACTTCCGTTCGGTAGTTTCTGTTATTCAAAACGTCGTATCGACGTTACGCTTAAATCGTTATTATCGTCGCTATCAACGTTACTTAGCTCGTCTAATTTACGTCTCGCGCCGCGATCGGCTCAAAACGAATTGCAAAACGCCAGACGAACGCGTTCGGATGTGCGCACCGATGGCCGCTACGCAATAATCCAGCGCATATAATGCTAATGCGACAGGTCTCCCGATACAAGCTCCCCGCGTAACGCTAATTAGACCCGGAGTCCGGAGGATACAATTATGTGATTCTTAAATGGAAACCTGGCGTGTGTGGTAATTTCGCGTCTCGAGTTTCTTGATATATCCTATTACGTCGAGCTATGTCGGTCGCGCGAAGCGAGAGTCACGCAACTTTTTTTTTTCCCCGAATCACCGAAAGGCGCGTCGGTACGGCTTGATGAATCTCCGCTTTTTCGCCAGATAATTCTCCCGCATTCGAGATAATTCACTCCGATTTTCTCTCGCGATAATTACTTCCCCCCGCCCGTACCTGGAAATATTAATATTGATAACGCTCTTCGGCGGTTATCGTAATTAAAAAGAAACTCTTGGGCCATTAAATGGTCTACGTGGTTTCCACAACGTCAAGCGGAGACGACAGCCGGCCGGAACTTTCTATTTATGTTCTCATCGACAGACTGACGTAAGAATTCATCATACTTTGGGGCTTCCAGCGGAGTCGATGTAGTCATTGATAACCGGCTCGTTTCTCGTTTAAGATCTCAATGGCCATCTCCGGCGAGATCAACGGCGGCGCGGACGTAGATTTGTCTTTATTTGGACTTCCATTAGGCCGAGACGTTGTTTGATCGTTCCCGTTACACGTTTTACGAGAATGGTCCGCGCGAGAAGTACTTTCTAGACACTCGACTCCGCGGCCGGTCTTCGCCGCCGAGAAGGTCGACGATACATCAAAGGATCGCAGAACGAGCGCGCATACGGTGTCACGCGAAGAATGAATTTGCTCATTGGATATGAAAGTTTGTTTTCTTAACAACCCCCTACGGCCTGGCCGCGCACTCTTGTGGAAGTATCGCGCGGAGGAGGGGAAAAAAAGAGGAGCGTGAAAAAATTTCGGAGAAAGACGGCGGAGAGATTTATTCGAAGAGATTTTGCGCTTCGACAAATTATCGGGCGAGTTGTCTAGCTGGAAATTAATGACGCGGCTATTTTAGTGGGCGCGAGACAACAAGGCGGGCGCTGTAAGGCGCTTTAAAAAAAATATATAATAAAGCGACGTGTCCATTTCGAGTGGGCCGCGAACGTGGCATCGCAGGCCAGGTGGACGATAAAGTGGGGCGCGAGCACCGGGATGCATTATCTTCGGCATTTCAACGTATCCGCGCCAGTTATCGTTCGGCCTAATCGAACGGTGTGTAATCCCACCTGCAACTCGCGGGGCTTACGGGGGCGCGTAAATGAAGTTACGGTACCCGCCGTTTCGCCTGGCGATTCGTATGTTTCTGTAAACGTGTTAATCTCGCGGGAAATTACCTTGTCTTTACGAGCGATCGGGGGACGAGATCGGGCCGTGGGGCGACCGCGAAGGAGAATAGCCCGCGTTAACGCGAATCGCATTCTTCCTATTTCCGACGAGGCGTCGCCGCCTCGCCGTTCTTGCCGCTCGGCGTACCGATCGGCGGCCGTGATTACTATAATTACGATTATAATAGACGAGATCGGGGAATCCAGGTCGCTCGTGATTCGCGCGCTATGAGGAATCGAAGAGAGACCAACTCCGCTTTCCAGCGGTAGACGCTCCGGGAAAAGCGCGGACGGGGAAATTAAACGAGCGAGCGCTAATTAATGTCGTCAGTGCCGCGCCGGTCCCACGCGATCCGATTGGCGGCCGGGGGTGGGAGGTTCAGGTTCAGGGATGCAGCGGCGTGCATCGGCGCGGGTGCGTCGCGATGCAGCCACAATTAGCGAGACATTAATGAGATCCGACGACGCGCGCGCGCGCGGCGAATGAGTCATGCGGCAGGAAGTCCTTTTTCCGCGATGCGGCACGGTCGAACACCTTCCGCCCGACGAACTGGTACAAGGTGAAATCGAGCTTCGATTCGCGGCACGAGAGGAAGGCCTGACGATCGCTCGCGAGACGTTCGCGAGGAGGATCCTCGCTTCCTTCTCCCCGTCTCCCTCGCTCTCGAATTCCGCTTCGTTTTGGAATAATTTCTTTTGCGTCTCGAGACCGATTGTCTACCTTCTCCAGATAAGTAGATAGGATAAACTATTTGCCAAGTACGCTGCGAAAATTGCCCTATTGTATCGGTGAGAATGAGATACTACGCGATACGATGGATAAAAGTGCGCCAGACAACCGCGCGCTCAAAGAGCGGATGGCACGACAGGCAGCGCGAACGTACAACAACGCGAGAAAGATTAGACGCTATTAAATCTTATTCTCTTCCTCCTATCCGCGCCGATCTTCTTTTTTTTTACCCCTCGATATATATCCCCGCGGGATACCGTCGGTGCGTCGCGATCGCGTGAGAGAGGTCGCCATTTCGCAGGGAATTAGTCGATGTCGTCCATTACCCGCCATACAGAAGACCGTGTACCACTAACTATCCAATTATCTTCCGATTAAAAAATAATGCGATAGTTGCGGTACACCGGCGTGTCCCGTACGCCCGTCACGCATCACAAAGTATCTTATCTGCGTTATCAGGCATCTATCGATGTCGGGAACTGAACTTTAGCTACCATTAACCATGCGGGACTTTCCAATAAAAGGACTCGGCGTTCATCGCTAGCGAAAAACAGATAAATTGGACGTAAAGTGGAGTCGGTAGAAATGCGCGAGCTATTCGATATACGAGCCGAATCGAATTGAATCATGGTGAGATTCGACGCGCTTCCATTCGGATGAAATTTTGTGGATTCGGTTTGATTCGGACTTGAAAAAGGAAATTAAATTCGATTCGATTCGACATAAAAATAATCCTTGATTCGCACATCTCGTATATGTGTGCTAGCTGAAAATGTCTGGTGCATCCTTTCTCATTAAATCTAATATCAATCTGATCTTTTGTCATTTTCCTTAAAAAAAGGGATTAATAGACATCGTTTCAGAAAATTGTCTTGCGTGTTGTTTGCCAACACTCGAAATAGCTTGACTCGCAAAGCAAAAGGCTCATCCGCCACAATATCTTCCTTATATCCGGACGTACTGCGGTACATTTCGCCGCTCGGAGCCGTCTGGCAATTAAGGTCAGATCGAATTCACGGGCCGTCGAATCGATGAAGCTATCTTGCGCCTCTGGCTCGACTCCAGAGAAAGAGCCTGCGACAATGCGCAGGGCGACCATCCCTTTTTCTTATTACCCGACGTTTCGCCTCTCACGAGCGATGGTGCCACGTGGATTTTCACGAGTAAGGGTGTTCCACCCTTCGGTCTAGCTATGGGCGGCTAGGCTAAATCAATTAGATGCCCGAGGTGGGAAGTGTTGATACAATATAGGAATACGTGACATTGCCTTCTGGCCTTTAGAAGATGAGGAACGACAACGCTAACAGGATTTCTCAACTGTCTCGTATTATCGGAGTTTTTACAAAAATATAGCCGGCACCTTTTTCTAAGTAGGAACCAATAATACGACAACGCAGTACAATATATGTAAATTACGTTTGTAATTAATTATAGGAGAAATAATTTCTCTGCACTGAGTACAATCTGTGCTGGTGAACTTTTGATAAGACACGTGAATCGCGTTTTTGGCCAAATTTCGGCCGAGTGTAAAACCAGAATGGATCGAGAACCACTGCTCCTAGATTTTCGACGTGTATCCCGCGAGCCGGGGCTCGCCTGCAACGTACGCTCGATAAAGGCAGCAGTATGCGTCACGGACACACGCGTGTAAAGGAGATTTCGCGCGGAGAGTCTCTCACGTCGTCTGTAACTTTCGTGAACTCGTATAATAGTGCGATGAACTCGCCGGCGCTTTATCTCTCTCCATGGTACGACGATAAGAATAATTGGACGTAAGACAGCGCACGGCAGATGAGAGACGGAGGTCTCCGTTGCGTAAAATTGCAGGTCATTCGCGGTCCTACGCTATCAAGCGTGTCTACAGTTTTTGGTTACGTAACCACGTATAAAATCGTCCGGGCGCCTTTTTATGTAACCTTACGGGACGACTGGCGCAGACGTTTAATTTTTCACACTTTGCGACTAATCCAATGATTAATTTCTCACCCGTTTCGACTCATTACGTTCGTACTCGTCAGTTTCGTTTCGGGGACGGGGAGTACGATAGACTTGTAGAATCGGGAATAAATGACTTGTCATTGAAATAATATTTATTATTTAAATAAAACAGATCCCTCCACTTTGACGGATCTAACGTATCGATTAATCTTAACAGTCTACTGAAATTGCTGAATATATTTTGTTTCTTGTTGCAGATTTCGTAATGCCACCGCCCTGTTATCGACATCGTTAGGTGGTGGGCCCTCGCAATGGCCTCGATCTTAGGAGACGGAACGGGCCCCGGGGGCCCCGGGCCCTCCCGATGCCTCTTGCTCCTGCAGAGGTCCCTGGCGATACAATTGATCCGAGGTTCGCCTCCTCACGTCACAAGCAGCGGCCAACGGGAAAGTCCAAAGGAGCACCCGGCCGACGAGATGTGGATGTACGACAAGGGCTACAATCTGTTTCAGGTGAGCCACGTTATCCTTGCTTACGCATCGATTCCTCGTTTACGCCCTTGGTGTCCTCTCGCCGCGTCATCCGGCGAGTTTTCGCCGACGACACGCGTCTTGGCCTTTCGGCAAACAGCGCCGTCCGCCTTGTCTGCTCGTGGGTTTTTGCTCGTCGGCGCCGGAAAGTTCAACGGAAACGAGAATGCTGGAGCGACGTTCCGACGAGACTCCCGACTCTCGACGTCCTCCGCTTTGTTCCTTCTTCGTGTCGACCCGCGGCGCGCGGGTCCTTTACGGTAAAGCGAACGCTGATTGCCCGCACCGTTATGCCACAATGAGACAATGTGAATTACGAGCAATTTCGCAAAAGTCGGCATAATCGAGGAGCGGCGGGTTAAACGGCGGAAGCTCGTTCTCGCGGCCGGCGCGGCGTTGTGCCGACGTCATCCGGCCCTTCGACAATAAATTTCGCATTTTACGTCGGGAATTCCTTCCACGGATGAAATGAACGGCGGCGAAACGGGAGACGCGCCGCCGCGCCGGACGACGGCGGCCGGGCGCCGTGCGCGTCGTAACGCAGCTCGCCTCGAATTTATCGCCACCAATGCGTAACGTGTAACCACTGAATATTCAACAGCGGTCTACTGTCTGGTCAGGAAAATCGTATTAAAGCTCGTGCCGATATGGCCAATCACGGGAGGGAAGTGCATCGGTAATAAGCGGTGTTATGATTCATCATCACGTGAGATGAGAATAAAATATTAATGAATAAGTAATGCAGTTAAATGGTAAGTTGAAGCGATAAATAATAAATGAAATAATAATCGCGCGTGTTACATGGATAGTTTGGACGGAGATATAATCCGGTCGAATAGTCAATAATATTTTCTTCGCACGTGTCCGGGCGCGTTTTGCAAAATTTGGCAAAGATTATCGGTGACGAGACGAAGCTGCGGACGTGACTGTTCGCAGTAACGAAGTGCTCTCACTTTTCAGCGAGTACGCACTCGGCGCAGAAGCACCCTTGCGGAAAAGTCAACGAGCGGAGGCCCTCGCTTCCAGAGTTAATAATAAGGGACGTCGATAACGGTGACAAAGGTCGAGGGTGCTGAACCGTTGAGTATGCAAGAGCAGCACTTTTTTTCGGACTCTTTAGGGACGACCTATTAACGCAGCATCTTAAAATGGGAATATTTAATTATTCGTGGTAAATTTAAAAGGTCAAAAAAATTTTCTTTGAACTGATTGAAAATTGGACTCTTTAATCAGACTATTTAGGGACGACCTATTACCAAAAGTGATAATTTTTAATGATCTGTAGTAAATTTAAAGTCAAAAATTTTCTTTAAACTGATTGAAAATTGAGCTCTTTAATCAGACTCTTTAGGGACGGTCTATTACCGCAGCATCCGAAATTGGGAATTTTTAATAATTCATAGTAAATTTAAAGAGTCGAAAATTTTCTTTAGACCAATTGAAAATTGGGCTCTTTTTTCGGACTCTTTAGGGACGACCTATTAGACGACGTAGTAAATTTAGAGAGTCGAAAATTGTCTTTGAACCGATTGAAAATTAAGAGGGCTCTAATATCTTCGTTAATGATAAATGTACTTCTAACTGCGAAATAAATCGAACGTGAAATAACGCGCGTGGAAGTTGAAATACATCGTATATAAAAGCAGGAAATCGCGTTCGGCGTTGCACGTACGAGAGAAGATATAATCTCGAGGTCGCAGAGTGAATTAGATCGACGTTCTATAATTGTTAAGGCAATTAGACGTTACTGCAGAAACCGTTCAATGTATGTTCTATCGGTATTGTGGTTCCGCGTGGTTTCGCGCTATGTACTGGCCGTTTCATCGATGTCTGCGGATAATAATCGATCGACGAAGATAGGATCGCTTTTCAACGGTACGATCGTCAAAAGCATCGCCGTGTGCTGCGCGGATCGTATCGATATCGCGATACAGTCGTTATTCAGAACATTGTACTCCATCGATTAATTTTATCTAAAGAGGAATGTTAAATGAAATTCCCCGTCGACTTCCCATAGTTAATACTAACGATGCAATTAACGAAACAAGATACATTGTGAAATAAGATAATTTATACACATAATCTATAACAATCTAATTAATTTACATATATTATATTAATTATATCAATTGTTAAATTAATAACAAATTAAATGTATATAATTAGTAGGTATATAAATTAATTATATTTTGTGACGTTATGGTCGGATTATCTTGCTTCGTTGACTGAAGACTTTTAATTCGTCTTTTCTTCCGGTAGAAAAGCGACAATGACGAACGGACGGCAATACGGATCTATTACCATAATAATGAAGTATATAATTAGTACGTATATAAATTAATTTTGTGACGGTATGGTCGGATTATCCCTCTTCGAC